TGTGTGTATACAGCATGTGTGTGGGTGTGTGTAGCCTGTCTTCATTTCCTTGTAGCATGCGTGTGTGAAGCGACAGGCATGTATAATTGGCTTTATGATATAATTTGTGGTAAACGTAGAGCGTAAGCAGATTCAGCTGATATGGAAATACAGACTGACAGACAGACAAGAGGGAAGAGATGAATGCAATGATTTTTATTGTTGTGGGGAAAGGTCCCCATATGGGAGGTGAGTCCCCACAACGTCACTGTGAAAACAGCTTTTGATCCCCGCAAACACACGCATACAAAAAAAGAACAAAGTAGCATGAACAAATTACTTACTGACCTGTGTTTTTATAGAATGTGTCGCATAGGTAAAAAACACCACCAACAGAAAACACCAAGTACATGATGGCATGTGCCTTGTTCCACTGACAGCTTGATTGATTGATGTTATGTTGAAAATAAATTACTGTTTACTGATAATTAGTCACAATCAAGTCCTGCTATCCATCAACTGATACTCATTATGCCTTATGAGTGGGTTTTAGCTGATAAGCAATGTCAACATGGAGAAGTTGTCAACCTTGAGCCAAGCAATTTCACAGTTGATTCAATTGAAAAATAAAAGGAGTTGCCAGTGTAGCAGGCCTTTAAAAAAGGTGAAACAGGCTAGACACTGAACAAACCGCAATAACCCTGTCTTACTTCCTTTTTACAGAGGCCAGATGAAGTGAGCAAAGGGCTCTGGGTCCTCCAGAGGCATATTTATGTTTGACGTCTATTCCAGGTGAAAGAAAAATTGACTCAATTATACATATTTCCAAGAGCTGTTGCCCTGTCCAAGTAAAAAAAATAAGATTAACAACATGCTGGGGAGGTGAAACTAAATTGAAGCTTGTTTTACAAGCAAACATCTGTTGGCTGATGCTTATATCTCTGGGCCCCTCCTTTTGCATCTTCTTTATCTGAATAAATAAATAAGTTCATCCTGGGCAGGCCCCTTCCCCACTGCTTAGTAAACTATGTTAGTGAAAATGTTCTACAAATATATTTCTAGTTGTCAGTACTACTGTACACATCAACATACCTGCTTTGACAAGACAATGAGATGAGATTTAATGTGACATCCTTGACTATTATTGGTTGGATTCCAAGCTGACACTTAGTAAACATGGTTTTGCACAAGCCTGGAAACAAAGCACAGATGCAAACAATTATCAACAATGTTAGCATTTGTGAAATGTTAATTGAAGCAATTATTTTACGTGCTAGAGCATTGGCTTTAACCGCTGCTTTACCCTTATTTGAATTTAATATGCACATTTAATTATTTTACACTTGGCCTGTATCTAATACCCAGGCCAACTGCACAGACAACATTATGTGAACTAATAAAATGTTGTATTAATTAGAATCAAATAAGTTGTGCAAAGACTGTGACTCTGCTGTATGATAATTAATGACAAGAGAATGTATAGCAGATAATGAATTGGGCTAAGTTAGCCCGGCATTGCTAACATGCTGCAAACCTAAATACATTCAACCCTTGTACAGTGTCATTTCTGCTCCTATGTATTGTGAAGTCAAAAGTATAACTACAGATGTGATTTTGATAATAAAAATGGTTTATGTGCTTGTAGCTTTGTGTGTGTGTGGGTGTGTGTGTGTGTATGTGCGCGTGTTTGTGGCTGATATTTCAGAAAGTGGCACAGAACTCTTCTAAGTTGCAGAGGCAGAATGAGGAGAGCAAAATATGCATCAATTTATTCATGGCAGAGATTCATAAAGGCTGTCTGACAACATCTTGTTTGCTCCAAATCCCTGTGCAAGTGCTGGCTTGAACATCGGACATGGCCAAATTGCTCTGATTGGACAGTTGCCAAACAACTTGATTACCTCTCAAGAGACCGAAGAGTTTTTGGTGAGGGGCAGAGTGCCAGCATCTCTGATTTTCTTAGAGTACTGTGAATCAAAATTTCACTTATTGATGAGAAGAAATTCCGTAGCATTAAACTGACTTCAGTTGACAAGAAAAATGTTTGGTTAAACATCCTGAGCCTGTCATTGCATTCAGGTTTATTGGTCTCACTTCAATGGAAAGGTGTATATATATGATATACGAGTAATTCATTCAAGTGATTTGCTCATTCACTTCTCTCTCTGAGTTGAAAGGCCCGCAGTAGAAAGGCTCTATCCTTGCCATTACTCAGAGAAAAAAAAATACTACGAACACCAACGCTCTGCACCAGCGCAGACAAAGCAAATCAAAAACTTTTCTTCACACCACTTACTCCATTTTTCAAAGGTAAAAATGCAGTGACTGCCAACAACTACAGGAAAACTTTTTTTCATTTTTTATATATTATTCTGAAAATAACATAGAGGAGAAAATTGTTTCCCCCATGCCCCCAGTGGTTACCCCTGAGGGTGAAAATGAGCATTAGAAAGCCTTTGACCCAAAGCAACACATTTTCATTCAATCTCAGCAGCCGACTCCAACAGAGTTCCACACAACAACAGAAAAAAAGAGACTCTACAGAGAAGAGACAAAAAAAAACTGGGATACAAAAATCGAGCCGACGTAAATGAATGATGTTCCTGTCAGACGGCCACTTGTACATAGACGGTCATAAGTGCAGAATAAAAGAGAATTTGGTGGACAGACTCACGGACGTCAATGAAGCTGAATGTCAAATTCTCCTGTAGGTCTATGGAATCCCTATCTTTGGTTTGTAATTACATTGTGACATATTTCTCTGCATTTCTCTCTAATGAGAGCATTAAACACCTTTTATTTTACAATGCTGAGAGCCAGCAATGATCTTTTTGCTGGAAGACTAATCATCTCAGGGTGATTAGGAGCTGAAGGTTAATGTGGGCTCTCGCGGATGGGAGAGGGAGCGAGGTGGGAGTGAGGGAGAGCAGACCTAGAAAGGCACAGGCGGGCGGCGTTGCGGAGGCACAGGGGGGCTATAAGTGGTTAACAGTCTGTGGATCAAAGAGAGGGGAGGCCTGAGTCTCATTACACATGTAAATGCAGCTTCCAGCATGGAGGCCCCACTTTAAAGCCTTGCTTTCTTTAATTATTCCTCTGCTCTGCACATGATAATTGGGTTTAACTTAGCCCAAGGCCTGTTGGCTGTATAAGGAGAATAAAACACCCTAATGACTCTGTCCGTTTTTTAATGGCGATACAGGATCAGATATAACCATGGTATTACCTTTTTGTCCTGCTTTTTCAAACAGGCTCCCGTAGATTGATTGGTGCTGGGTATTGATGCAACATAAAATTTGTCACCTGTTTGCCATTTAGGAATTAATGTTCATCTGTGCTAACTGCTGTATCACTTTGAGTGTGACATGATTGAACAAAAAAATAGGTAGAGAACTACCATAAGCAGAACTACATTTCATTGACTGTTTAGCTTTTGTAATGGAACAAATTCATGATTGTTTTTGAGAAAGAGCTCGTTAAATGAAATGCAGAAATCTTTTTTACAAATTCTGTATCCACTCAGATGGGAATTCCCCAAACTCCACTATATTTAGTTTAAACAATCACAGCACTGACATAAATAAAAATGTCAATATTTAAATGTGTGAACTATGAATTGTAAATTGTGGGTGCGAGTAGGACAAAACATCTGTGATAAAATACTCTAAACTCTTGACTTTTGACCATCGGGTGTCATCCAGCAACTGTCAACATGTGTCATAGGAAGTGTGTACATTTTGTAGGTCATGCCTGAGCAACTTCAATTTGCCAATGACGCCTTTGGTTGAAACCTTGAATTTAGAATATTCTATCACAGATACTCTATCTGTACCTAAGGACAAAATAAATCTCAACAATACATTGTGATCTGGTCTTGTGCTTTGCTGTATCAATGCACAGATATCACAAATCTAACCTGTGATGCTGATGTACAGGTTCGTTTACTCCTTACATTTTATCTTCACACGCTTCTGCTTCCTGGCAGTTTTGCCAGTTTATGGCTTTTACATTTAAATGACCACACGCACGTATTTGTTACTGTTAGTGTGTTAAAAGGCTCAGACTCAATTTCCTCATTTAGTTGTCACACATCATTAAAATCTTCTATTTTACTCTTCAGTCTTTTTACATATCCTTTCACATGCTATGTGTTATTGTAGGTGAGTCTCTTCCAATATGTTACACATAGATTGGCTGTATCATCATGGTTTAAATGGTTCGTCATTTAAGTCCAGGGAACTTAAATGACAAAATGCTGGTGGAAGGCAGGTACTACATTAGATAAGCCGGTGACCATGCTGCCATCTGTGACTCACCAATGTAGTCTAAATGAAATGAGCTCACAGAACAAAGAGTTCTTAGTACTAGACACCTTCACTGACGTAGATCAAAACTTCTCTTCTGTCTATTCCTATCTTCAGTTAAGATAGAGGTCAGAGTCGAATAATGCTTTAACAATGTGTATTTTTGGAATAGTGACTAATGAAAATTAAGAATATTAATAACGTTTGATGTAAAGATACATTTATTGGAATGGAGCTATGTAACTGATATTTGTGGGTAATTGTTTTATGTATGAATGACTTACTTGCAGTAAGTACTTCTTCCTATAGCACTATTGTGATTAATGTGTATAGTGCAAAAATCAATTACTGATGTTCTATCATACTACCCCCGGCTGAGTACACTTCATCGCGCTTCACATCAATAACCAGCTTTGAGTTTTGTACACTAACAAATGTGGTGTGCTCAACATTGCGTGGGCTGTGCATTGTTTTTGGTGCTGCCTTTCAATCTGAATTACCCGCAGGTAATAGGTTTCTTTGTGGCATTGTTAAAAGTATTTGTTTGTTATGCTGTTAATGTAATTCATTAGTGCTTTGGCACAGCGCTGTTTCTTCAAGTGCCTTTTAACTCCTGCCTTCAATATCATCAACACAGACATTTACAGATGAAATTCTTTCTGTGAATATACATATGAAATTACTAGATGTTTTTATTTTGAATCAGGAGAAACTTACCTGGCCTGGTTTGGCATCTTCACAAATGGAGGCTTCGTACGGTGTGGCCAGTTCAGGAGGATTGTCATTTACATCCAGAATACGAATTCTCACTGCTGAGTGGGACGCCATGGTGTGGTTATCTACAGGAGAGACAGAAAGAAAAACACATCAACGTCAATTGCATGACATTATAGTTGCATTTGATATATTTAAAACAAATTACAATGCATGTAGTGGTTGGATAAAGTAAGAGTACATGACAACACATAACTGGCAACTGAGTGGCTGACGTTCTGATTCTGGTTGGACTGTTTCTCAAATAAGAGGCTGTCTACACTGAAAGCATTTCAGTCACAGTTTTCAGCTGTGCATCTTGTGCACATCCGACGCTAGAAAATATTTAGCTTGAATCAATCAGCTGTGTACACAGGCTGCATAAAAACACAAGTTTCATTATGCTTTATGCAAGTAGCTGCAACCCAAAAACAGATTTTTACTCTTGGCTGCGAGCACCACCAGATGACATAAGACACTGGTGTAAGAGTCCATGGGCAAGACCATCAATGCTCATTACATTACAGTCATTTAGCAGACACTTTTATCCAGAGCGACTTACAATTCTATCACATTTCTACACCGTAGGCACAGCTACAGGAGCAATTTTGGGGTTAAGTGTCTTGGTCAAGGACACATCGATATGCAACTAGCAGAGCCGGAGCCGAGGATCGAACCGCCGACCCTCTGATTGAAGGACGGCCCTGCTATCCACTTACCCACAGTCACCCACATAGCCACAGTCGCCCCTATGCTCTTCTTGTCTGCCTGTGGTACGAGCAAGACAAGACTCAGATGGATGCAATTTCCCACAAGAAAGAAGCATTGTGGCTAAGTGCTGAACGGTTTAACTCGAATGCCTCCTCAATTGCACCCATTACCTGCATAACACTTTCTGGCACCAGTGAGTGACATGAAAATGAAAAAATGCCCTTGTTGGTTCTAAGTCCTCTCTATCCAATAAGGACAGTACAATATAGAGCTGTTTTAAAAGTTCTGCGTGCAAGAGGCCCACCTCAGCACAATAATGACAAATCAATGCAAATGTACCTCTGTAATTGAATTTCTCATAACATTTTCAACAAGATAAAACACACCAAAAAACATCACAATGCACTCTCAAGACATTTTTCTTAATAGGCCAGAACAACAATGTGGGGGTGGAGAAGATTATATAATTAGTACAAGCAAAACCCACTTCAAATTATCTCCATGAATCTTAATTCCCATTTGTAATAATAATATGATAATGTCTGAAGGAGTTTCCATTTTATTCATAAAAAACTATGTACAGTACAGAGGGAGCCTGAGGCCCCCAGCATGTGTGTGTGTGTGAGGTGAGTAACAGAGGAAGAGAGAGAACATTACTTCTGTGTTAAATGAGTGATCTGCTCACTTCAAGTGTTTGGTCTGGATATCCTGCTTAATTGGAGTACATAGCTCATGAATAAATCAGTATACACAGCTGTCACCACCCAGTTCATGCACCCTACAGAAATTGTAATGACATGCAGCTACTGACAATTATCCAATGATGAGAAAAACACACATAAATCCTCTCAGTAAAAAGAGCTCCAGTGAATGAATTTAAAGAGTTGCAATTATGTAAATAGTGCAAATTGTTAAGTGCAATTCAGTGAACTCACTCTTATGAATGAGTACCTTCACTTTGTGAAACGACTGATGCATGTACTTGTGAAAGCTAAATTAACACTTAGAAGTGCTCCAGGTTAGCGTTTGCTATGTTAATGGCTAGTTAATTATAAGTCGTAGTAACTTAGTATTGCAATTAGATAAATTAAGTGAAACAAGTCTCACAAACCTTGTAAGCTGGCAGTGCCATCTACTTAATGTAACTATACCTTTGCAAATGCATTTTTTGAGTTTGCATCAAAAGGTTCCAGGCAGTGTTTGCTAATTTTTTGACACAATATTTATCGATTTCCACAGTACAGAACAAATTTAGAAACATTTAGTCACCCCACTTTTCCCATATAATTGTAGCATCTATTGCTTTTTCAAGTGGTATAAAAAGGGAAATAAAAAGTGTTTCTTCGCAAAACTTATTAAGAAATTTAAAGAGAAAGAGGTCACTAAACATTATCAACCCATTCCTGCATGTTTAAGATTTGGCCTCAATTTGAGAAGTAGGAAACAGGTGATTGTCAGCTCCGGGGAGCTGAATGTTTGCTAACCTCTGGTTGAAGTTAACATGTTATATCCTGAAGTTTTTAACAACTAAGGCATTAGTTAAGCATTGGAGACTAAAACTGAGAGGTAACGAACACCTTAGGATGGAAATGAAGGTGAAGGCAGTGAATTGGATATAAGTTCCATAAAAGCCCATGTTGGTACTTGTTGGTTTCCATACATTGAAATCCAATTATTAAATTTAGAAATGTTAGTTGCACAGTAATAAAAAGTGAATTCAAGTCCTGATAGAAAAACATATCCGTGAGTGTTTCATGATCCCTATCCCACCGATACGGATTATTAAACACTCATGGATATGTGAAACTACAACTACTGTTGAACGTTGGTAGACCTCGCAATACTGCTGGTTTTGCCACTTTTTATATAAACATGTAACATTAAATATACAATCAGCACTCTTCTAAAAAAAATGTGTATTGTTTGCACTGTTGCAAGAGGTCACTTTTTAAGAACAACTACAAATTGGTATATTTTGACTAGTGATTCATTCTGTTAATAACTGCCAGTGGAGACTGGACTGATGTCCTTAGAAAGAACCTAAACTCCTCTAGAACGTCATTTTTGTATTATTTTGGGTCTCAATAGTCACTCCTCTAATCTGTGTCTTTACAGCAATTTTCAAAATAAGTGTTCCATAAAGAGGACATTGAGGCTCAACGGGTGACACGTTTGGAGGCGTGTTTGCTTTAATTGATGAATCTCCTCCACACCCAGTCGTGGTAATTTCCCGGCTGGGTGATATCAAGGGTAAAATTCAGGCTTAAAAAAGTAAAAGGAAACTGTTGGTGAACTCAGAGACACTGTCTATAATTTTCTGAGGGTCTACGAGCAGGACAGAGAGAGATAACTGATGCCAGATGACATACCAGTGGGCCACAGGTCAGATAGAAAAAAGAGACAAAACAGATTTACCATAACAGTCCTGCAAATCGGTAATCAACAGACTTTTTTGGACAAATTCAAGCTCTCTCCCTCTATCTCACCACACAGTTCTGCCTAATATTGGCACAGCAGCTAATGAGAATGCTGGTCTCGACTAATAGCGTAATCCTTACATCAATGCAGAGTTATAATTGATTGCTTTTTGCCGGAGCAGCAAGAACATAAATGCACAGAGTGCTCCACCAGTGCTAAATATCCTCTCTGTTCTCCTCTTCCTCTAATTTCGTCTTCACATTGTGCTGCTGTCCCCGCCGTGTCGGAATGAAAACCAGCAATCATCGGATGTTACACATTTTACATTTCAATTCCCAAAATTGAAAACAGATGAAACAATATCTATCCATCCCAAACTCACTTCATGGGGAAAAAAAAGAGTTATTCAGTGAGACAGGTTCATTCATCTGGACCAAGTGGCGTCGTTCTAAAATCGGTCTTCAGATACAAAAGAAGAATAAAATAATTTCAACAGATTATTGGCATGCTCTGCATCTGTGCGGCACTCACCAGCTGTTGCAAATCTTTCAGAACGACTGTATGGTAGATCTCTCAAGCACTGCATTATACTGACATAACTTCAGGGAAAACAGAGGACGTTGAAAGTGTGTGTGGATGTCTTTGAACACATGTGCGTGTCTGCGTTGTGTGTGGGTGTGTGTCAGGAGCCGCATGCTCCTTGTGACCAATAGGCTCATCTTCTTTGCTGGGGGAAACAGTTTGGTTTAAAATGTCACTTTTGTCAGGAGGGGAAATTGAGAATACAAATGTACTCAGCAGCATCTGCTTCTGGTCTCTTTACTGAGCCACGGGCAGTCACGTATAGGCACAGAGGCTACCAAATATTATGGTCATTTTTCCTCAGCTACAATGTTCCAATATTACACAGACTCACAAGTGTACAACCACAATATCTTTATAACAGTTTGAGTTTTTGTGTGTTTAAGAATTAACAGCTGTAAATGCTTTGTAAGTAACAAAACAAAGCAAGACATTTCAGGAGCATCTGAACACGCTGAATAATGGAAATATTCATATTTGCTTTTCACAAAAGATAACAGATTCAGGTGCTGGTGACAGCCGCTCATTCCATTACAATGTTCAGCCAACAAATATGGAAAGTAACTTCCACCACCATCAAGATTAAACAGGTTTAGCATACACACATGTCTGATCCAAGGATAATCAAAACATGCTTCTAAATGCATAGGTTTCCTCTGTGCTGCTTTTCATTTATTTCCATGACAAAGAAAACTCATGGACAAAATGAATGTAAACAATAATCTTGCTGAACCTATAGCACCAATCTCATACATAAAATCCCAATTGGACTTTCCATCCAAACACCAGGTGAGACATGCTCACTGTAAACTCTACGATACACACTCATTGATGCTTTATAAATATCACAAAACCTCAACATCAAACCTCATCCAGATTCATATTCTTTTGTCGTGGTCAAACAATGAGAAGTAATTAAAGGACAGTGTGTAATATTTAGGGGGATCTTATGGCAGAATTGTAATATAATATCAATAATTATGTTTTATTTTCTACATTAATCCCAATAGCTCACTTTGTAATACAAGACTGTTTTTTCAATTTCACTTTTATAAAACTGGGTCCTGTACCGCAAAGCAGGTTCAACATACCAGGGATATATTTGCATTATCTGGCTTCACTAACTCTAACAAACGCGATCCCACTAAGTGGCCCTATGACCATGGTTATTAATTAACCCAGTATTTCAACCAAGTGTTTTTTTTTAATTGGGCTATAAGGGCGTTCACATAAAAGCGGCGGTGTTTGCAGGGTATGACGAGTCACAAACATGGACAAGTCAAACGTCAGCAGTACCGCATATTTTACAAGCGAAAAGCAAACTATATTATTAGAAAAATACAAGTTAAACACATAATTCATGCTAAAAGTAACA